TTATATAAAAGGAATAGAATATGTTGATTATATAATTATGAATAGGTTGATTATATAAAAAGTACAAAATACGTTGTTATGTAAAGAGAATACGTAGATATATAGAAAGAATAGAATACATAGATTACATTAAAAAGCTAAATTATATGAAAAATAATACTCCTACAAATTATTACTTTTATTCTTCAAATGAGCAGCAATAGTTAAAAGGTTTAATGATAAAAGATATCATACTTTAAAATATACCTTCCAGATATGGTCATATGTCTCCTAAAAATGTTTTATTATTTTTCTTTTTATAAAATTAGGTATAACAAAAATGATAGTAGCTAATTGCAGAATGGAGGTAACAAAGGATGAAAATTGGACGAATGTTAAAACAGTTTACCAAAATGGGCCAATAGCTCATTCACCAACACTTGAAAAAAATGATAAAGATGCTATTACATCGTATTCAACAAGTAAGCACAATTAGTCCAATTTTTTTTTTTCACTTCATTCTATTTTTATTTCGTTCGATATTTTAGTTCCTTAATGAAAAGTGTTATCTCTGGAAGTGAAAAAGTAAGGATGAATTGTAAAAATTCAAATTTCAGAGGTTAAATTATCAAATTTTGGATGAATTTTTTTTTCTAATTTAATCTTTTGGACGAGCTGCTTAAAATTTAACCTTAAATATTCAATTGTAAAAATCTGCATGAGAATTATCCGTGAAAATTCCTTTTGAATTTTTAGCAATCGACAAATAAAATATATTTGTATGAGTTAATGTAAATCTTGACAATCCATGAATTAGTAAATAGCTGATGCTCCACATCTTTTAATAGGATAATCAATAAAATAAGCTTAAATGGGAGAAACTGATTTTATTTTAGATCGTGAAAAAATATATCACAAAAACGCAGGAACTCTTGAAGAAATACATGTTCTGGAGAGCTCGGGTAGAACTACCAGAGATTTCGCCGAGGAACATTGGTCTTCAAAAATCAAATCATACATAATGCCTCAACCACCGAAATTTATGCAGGTATTTGGCATTTTTTTTAATCACCATTTTCATAGATAATTAGCAAATTTGCGAGATTGGTTAGGTTATTAGTTTATTTCTTTATTTTTTTAAATTGTAAGCATATTACGTTATCAATTCGATAGAGAATTCGAAAATTAGCGTAAAAGTGATTTGCATACATTTTCTTCTAAAAGATTAATTTTTATAAACTTAATTTAAATTTAACTTCAAGATTGATTATGCTTCCAATTCATCCTTGCTGTATGATTTCCCTGTTCAGGTAATTAAGGCATTTCGAGTGCTAGCCACTGATACATTAACACTTGTCGTTGAAGTACAAAGCGATCCACCTGCCATTTTTGAATGGTTCTGTAATGACAAACCGGTGCAACAAAATCGACGAAAATTTAAGGTTTAATTATTTTTTATACTTCTGCAAATCGCTGATAAATCCTAATTAGTTCTTAAAATTGCAATATGACTGATTCAAAAATTTAATGAGAAAATTAAAAAAAAAGCAAAATACAAACAACATTTGTTTCAAATAATACAACGAAGAAACAATGTTTTAGGCACGTCATGGAATCAACATTACCACCCTAACCGTTGAGGGCCCGGAACAGGGTGTTTATAAATGTACTGCAAGAAATCCCGTCGGTATATCTACAACTTATGGCTATATTACAGTCAACGGTGTGATCTTTGCTATTTCCCACTTTTAAATTTGCAAAGAATTCAAATTTAGCCGTTGAAATAATACTACAACAAGTTGTTAATAAATTACAATGTATTCTCAATTTAGAACAGAAATTAAAATATTATTTCTAATATTTTCTTTTTTACCTTTTAATAGTGTTTCCATTTCAGATGCTAAAAATACGTTCTATTTCTGGCTATATTGTTATATGTTTGATAAAAGATTTTTTTTATTTATTCTGAAACAAGTGTCAAAGCCATTTTTTTCAGCTCCTCCACCATACAAAACATGGTTAGAGCAAACACATGAAGTTAATGAAGCAATGAACATGGAAATCAATGATAAAGAAAATATCCGTGAATTAATTAATTATTTTAAATAGATAAATATTAAAGAATTAATCATTTAGAATTCCCAAATATTTTTGGGATAATCTTATAAGTTCCATTTTTTTTTTTTCATATGACATTTTTTAATCGAAGTATTATTTCAGAAACATCGACTGATATACCACCCAAATTTATTCAACAGGTACCAAATTTGACGTTACGACCTGGCAGTGAAGCGCTTATTGATGTTGAAGTGGAGGCATCACCTCCAGCCAAGTAAGAATAATATTTCTTGATATTATTACTCAAATGTATCACGAAAATTTAATCAAAAAAATATAAAATACGTCAGCGTGAACAATGAGAATACCATTTTAAGTTTTGAATTGATTTCACTATGAATATGCCATATGGAAATTAATATTTGTATTAATGGTATGATATAATTATTACTCAGAATCAGCACTTCTCTCTCGTACAGCATTTACAAAAATAAGGAGTTAGAAATTTTCCTTTAAAATTTTTCTAATAAAAATTGAAGTAGAAAATGTTTAAATAGCATCCTTTCCTGTTCAGTTGTAAATATAGCAATACCTAAGTATCACTTCGAAAAGACGCAATTCACCAAGTGATTTTGCTATGAAAATTGTTAATGAAGTTGAAAGTAAATCATTTTTGTCACGTTTTTTCATTTTTTTTTTGAAATGCTTTTTTGAAATCATTTTTTGAAATGCTGTTATTTGTCGTTGCTGTGACTTTATTTTTTAAATAATTTTTGCAATGATTTAAAGAACTTTAATGAATCAGTGACAAAATGTACCTTTTTATTTGAGATCAAAATATGATCGAGAAAAGAGATCAGTATTTTCACGAGAATTAAGTTGCATTTACTGTTTTAGGTTCACTTGGTACGTGAATGGTATCGAGTTTTGCGATACAATTGGACAAATCGAAATTTATTATCCAATAGCTAATCGTTGTATTGCCCGATTTCTAATTCCACAAAAGGGTGAATACAAAGTAATTGCGGAAAATAGAGCCGGTAAAGAACACAGTATCGGTTACATCGATATTAAAAGCGGTAATTATCATTTCCTAATGAAATATTTTTTCATTGAACAACAATTTATAGCATAAATTAAGCACTCTTTTTGAAGTAGAAGCAAAATCAACAATAAGAAATTGTTGAAATAATGATTAAGTAAAACTCATGATACTTATTTACAGAAGTAATGTATCATCAGACACAATTACCACCTTTACCAAATGATCATATATATCATCGTTCATCCTACACCGAATCTGAACATCGTAAGAAGTTGATAGCATATTGTTTTAATTCTAAAATTAATGGAAATAATTTGAAATTTTTTGAAGTTCTTTTATACTAAAAGTTTTTTCTTTTATTCTTCGTTTTTGTTAAAGGCTGATCAAAATTATTAATTAAAACTTATGAATGTTGTAGATGAAATACCATTGTTACAAGGCAGAGGACGAGCATCTTCGGTGAGTAGAGTGATTGATTATTATGAAGAAAGTAGCTATTATGAACGCTCGACAAGCTTACCGCGACAGATCGATCGTCCATATGAAATGAAGAAAACAACGGAGATTATTCGAAAGCGCAAAGACGGTTCGTTTTTTTTTTTTCATTAGAGAAATTACCTTAATACTTTAAAATACATCCATTTACCGAAATAAATATATTGAAATGTGAATTTTTATCAAAACAATGTTTTTTGCGTGGAGATTTCAATTGACTGATAGGAAATTGCTATCTTTTGTAATAATGCACAATATTTCGGTAATTTAATAATTAATAAATTCAATGAACAAAGTACTTAAGTTTATTTAAAATATGCAAGCTGAGTATTTGCTCGAAAAGATTCTGTTGCAACAGATGCTCAAACCTGATAACTGTGTTATTTTAGTAAAGCGTTGTAGCATAAATTTCTTGGAAATGTTATCTGCCAGCATTTTAAAGATAATAGCTTCTGTCTCTTCTTATCAATGATAAGGTAGATAAAATGGAAAATAAAGTATCAAACACAATTTTTTGCGGAGAAAAAAGAGGAAAATGTCCGCATTTATAACATCATTTCTCGATGGCTCAACAGCTAATTTTTTATTGAAATTTAAAGTTGACAAAATCGAAAGAAAAATTAAATAATTTGTCTGGCATCATAAATCTTTATAAATTCCAATGTATCCTTTGCATAGGCCGAAGTTATCGAAAAGTTAGAATGTTTGAGAGGAAAGTCCATATCTCAATCTGTTGTAGGTAATAATAATTAGAAAACTTGTTTAGTAAATTTTTTCCCGATGAAAATAATGTGCATCTTTTCTGTTAACAAAATTTGCATGGATTTTTAATTAAAGAATAAAAAGTTTATTTCATTTTATTTCTGTAGAGAAATCGCGCATTTTTTGCTTTTTGTTTTGTTTTTTTGGAGAATGCTTCGAGAAGTATATGCCATTCCAAAAATAATTTTAAAATTTTTAGCAAATTTTTATCAATCCATTTGTTATTTTATTTTCTTCTGTGCTATATTTTTTTCTTTTTTTTTTTGTTTTGCAAAATCAATTTTTTAGACTCGAGTCAATTTCAACAACACGAACAACAACAACAGCAACAACAAAAAGAGCAGCAACATCGTCAACAACAGTACTTATCTTCAACAGAACTTGCTAAAATGAAAGAAGAACAATTACAGAGAGTGAAACGTCCACGGTACAGTGTAGCAACAACACAACATTTGCTACCTCAAGAACCAGTTTTCACTAGTAAACTACCAATAGATGTTGCGATAGCTCCCAGTAAAGATTTGGTGCTCAGTATTGATTTTAAAGCAATCCCGAGAGCAGATGTGAAATGGAGTGTAAATGGTTTTGAATTGAAAGATTCAAAGAAAGTCACAGTAATCAATGAGGAAAATCATTCAACGCTTATCTGTCGAGCACCAGTTCGTTATGGACGTTACAATGTTACGGTAATGAATGAATATGGTATGAATAATCAAACTACACGAGTGTATCATGATGAGGAGAAACAGCATGAAGAGATCAAAGAATCACGTTTATTATCCAATGAAGTCACAGAGCAACCGGTGTCTGCAAATATTACCACCGCATTATTTGATGGATGGGAATTAATCGATGAACAACAACGGTCTAGCAGATCGGCAGATTCATTCGAAACTGTTAAATATGTGGAAACAGTTCGAGCAGCTACAGAAGGACATGAAACACCCACTCCACATGATCAAACACCCACTCCACGTCAATCATTCCATTCTTCTACGTGGATGAACGTTTCTGGAGTTCCTGAAATATCGCATTCATTTCCTAATATAGAAAAACATTATAAAGAAATCACAAATGGTATATCAAAAACCATTTATGAACAATCTAAAGCTAATGAATCGATATTACATAAACCGCTAACAGGTATGACATTTGCGAAACAAACGTATGAGGAAGCTGTTCGTTCGGGAAGCGAAGTTCATAAACTACCATCCTCAAAACCACAACTACAAAAAGAAATTGCGGAACATGGAAATATCGAAAAAACATTCCACATTCCAGTGCAACGTATCAATGAATCAATTCCGAAGCATCCATTCATTTTAAAACAGCCTGAGCCAGAAATCCGTCTCAAAGCAGGTGAAAAACTTGTATTGGAATCTAAAGTTGATGCGTCCCCACCATCTCAATTCAAATGGTATCAGAATAATTTTGAGGTACGGCCATCACAATCTGTGATTATTGAAAGTCCAGCAGTGAACGAAAGTCGGGCTACATTTTTGAAACCAGTCAGTGGTACTTATAAAATGGTAGCTTCCAATATTCATGGTTCTTGTAGCAGTATCACCCGTGTAGTTACTGAAGTTACCGAAGAATGGATAACAGAATCCAGCGTTTCCATGATTCGGGCAATGCCAGAGAAGCAAGAACCGAAATATCAACTTATAAAGAGATCTCATATCGGGACACGAAATGATTTACCCAAAGCTCCACGAATTGTGGAAGGTTTTGCTCCAATTCTTAAAATCCCCAATAATGAACCATTGGTATTGCGTGTCACTGCAGATGCGATACCGGAAGCGGAATTTCGTTGGATGTTGAATAATTTTGAATTAAGAACAAGTCAAATAGTTGTTATGGAACGTATCGATTCAAATGTCTCACAAGTTACATTCCATAGTCCGACAAGCGGACGTTACGAAGTGGTAGCGATAAATTCGCTGGGTCAAGATTCCTGTTCTGGAAAAGTAATTATTGATTATGGAGAAGAAGCACAAATTACTCCTATTAAACCAGTCGAGAAGCCAATTGTTCCTAAAATTCTTGAATTTATCAAACCATTACCAGGAGAAACACAGTTATACTTCGAAGAACAAGAATTCCGTCTTTTCGTATTAGTGCATGGTGAGAAACCGATTATGTTCCGATGGTTTGCGGATGGCAGTCTTCTGTCGAACAGCGCTGAGCATCAAATGATTAATGATTCGGAAAGTAGCACATTAGTTGTACGGAAACAAATTGAATGCGATGTTGATTATGCAGTTGAAGTTTCTAATGCTTATGGAGCTGCTTGGTCCGAAACTACGGTAAAACCACCACTATCAACAACCAGCACAACTTCAGCGGAAAGTTCACTACCAGAAATGCAGGATGCGCAGCGATGCTCTCCACGTTATATCATTGTGCTAATGGATAAGGATTTGCAACAAAACGATGAATTCACCGCACGTGTAACTATTAATGCAGAATCCAGTCCGTGTGAGTTTGTCTGGACGCTAAATGGACGTGACATTCGTACAATTCCTGCATTTCGTGTTGAATCAACTTTCTATGAATCTATTCTTTACATCAAATCAGCCTCATCAAAACATTCTGGTGAACTATCAGTTATAGCTAGCAATAAATATGGTACTGCAAAATCAGCAGCTAAAATCACCGTTCACCCATGTTAGTCATCGGATTTAAATTAATTTGCTAATTTTTTAACTTATTTTTGAAAAAAATTAAAATTTTATGTTTGCAACATAAACATATGCTTAATTTTTTTTTCCATTAATATTTAAAACTAACGTCTAGTATTCTTGAATAACCGATTTTTTTTGTTCTTATTTATTTAAAACTTTTGAGTTTAGGAGTACTCCAAGGTATTTCCTGTTAATCATCAAATATTATGATCATATTCACATATTAATGAGTCTTATTAATATCGAAAATTTCCAATAATTTCCTCTAAAAATATTATCAGTGTTTTGAGAAGAGATGCACGGTATTCTAAATTTTTGGAATTTTAAAAGCATAGCATCATAATTATTTGATCTTAATTCATGAAAACGAATTATTTTTTATTTTCCTCTTATTATCCGAAAAACTTTTGAGATTTTAAAGACAAAATAACAAGTAATTTATCAGTCAAGACTGGAATTTAAATCCATTAATTGATCACAAAAAAAAAAACATCATAAAAACTTCCATTGCTTTTCAGTACGTGAAGAATCGTATGAATTTATTTCGGAAGTAGAAACTGTACCAGCTGAACGGCCACCACAAATTGTTTTACCTCTACGACCTTCCGTTCTTAGAGAAGGTAGGTAGTTTTCAAGTTTCTTCAATTGTGGATATTGCAATACACTGGGGAAGTGATATAAGGTCATTTCTGATCTTCCGATAAGTCAGCTTTCATATTTCCGATAATATTATAACACAAACGAGCTACCAAAATTTGGATTTGCATCGTGATTTTATGGTGAAATTAAATTTTCCACTTTGTTCCACCAACTAATTTAAATACTTGAAATATTTTCGTGAAAATATTTCAAATATTTTCGAAATTTAATGCAGGTGAATCACTCGAATTACGTTGTTACGTTGATGGTTTACCACGACCGGAAGTATTCTGGACCAAAGATGGAATTCGCATCGATGATAAAATGGCAAAAAAAGAACTCATAACTCTTCAATATCCGGATGGTAGATATGAACTGATTAATCCAAAATGTGCACCAGAAGATGCCGGTTTATATCAGTTAACAGCTCGTAATATCCATGGTACCGTGAATACTTCAGCTTATATTCACATCGAAAGTAAGTAAATGAATAGTTTAACCGAATAAAATTCTTTATGTGTATTTTTTTCCTCCCAAAAAAAAACAACCGCTCACTTTTTATTTTTTATTCAATTAAATTATTATTTCAGGAAGAGAAATAGTGAAAACAACAACAATGGAAACGGTAGAAATTTCAGCTTTCAAATAAAAGCCTCATAAAACTTTTACAAGATTCTGAAAATTCAGTTTTTTTAAATAAATTTATCAATAAATTTGTAATGGGATAGAGTTAGCATATAGACTTTTTAAATGCTAATTATGATTTTATGATTTAATAAATTCATTTAATTATCACACTAATGAGATTTAGTTTAAAATTATCAGTTTGTTCAATTTTTCAACTAACTGGTATATTTAGAGAGATGAAATTCAAGTAATTCATCAGGCAGCATCAAAACCACGATTCAGTGAAGTAATGTCAAAACAATATGAACATGATATGGTTGTGAGTTGTAAAGTGATAAGTGAAACACCAATTGTGGTGTCGTGGTACAAAGATGGACAACGTCTCTATCAGTCCTATAAGTACCGTATACAGAAATTATCTGACAACACGTATACTCTTACAATATGCAATGTCGATAAACGGGATGAAGGTATATATGCAAATGAATTATCAGTGATAGAGTTAAATAGCAAGTATAGAAATGAAGAAAGTGAGATTAAACTGATGAATAATGAAATCAAATGAATCAAGAATAGCAGAATCAGATGGCCAAGAAGATTAAATAAATGATAAATAGCAGAATCAAATACGAAAATTTCAGTGATAATGAATATTCTATAAATAAATTAGAATATTGCTCTCTTTATTCATTTGGCATTGTTTGTACGACTATTTCGCACTAATTTTTCCATATTATAAAATAATGGAATTTTGTTAGAAATAAAAAATGAATTATGGAACTTTTAAGGACCACTTTTTATTTCAGGTCCATATATTTGCCGTGTTGAAAATACACACGGTAGCTCAGAAACAAGTATCTATATTCAACCTTCAGTAAGAACTCGAGAAATAAACGAGGAAGTATTGGTTGAAGAAAATGATAGTGAAGTAATTGGATTACAGGATAATATCGGTTATGTGAAGAAAGTAGGCAAATTTTTACATATTTTTAAATTATTTCCCTACTTTTTCCGATTTCTGTGATTATTTTGAGGAATCATAGAAATCGGAAGAAGTAAGCTTTGAAAGGAACAATCATAAATAGATCTACAACAAAATAAAAGATGAAAAAGAATTGTGGAAGAAGAAGAGGAAGTATGAAATTGATTGAGTTAGAGTTTCGTGTAAAATTCTATGAAAATTAGGTTTAAAATTTTGCTTAATTATTTGAGAAATCCAAAATATATTTTTCAGAAATACACTGATACAACAGTTAAGGTATTGGTAAAGCCTGAAGTAAGCGGTAGTCAAGAAATGTACAGCCATACTGCTGAGCTACGAAAAGCTGAAGGTTTGATCATTTGATTTTTTTTTTTTAATGCTTTCAATATGAATCGCAATTAATATAAATCAATTTCAGCAGAGTATAAATTGCTGGTAAAAGTTGCGGAAATTGTTGCAAGTAAGCTAGTCGCTAAAGTTGTAATCGATGAAGCAATATATGTAGCATTAAAACGAATGAATGCAGAAATGCAATCTAGTGAAGAGGAAGAATTTGAATCAATCTGTGAACGACGTCCATATCCACCAAGGTAATACTTGTTATGTTGATATTTAAAATGATCATAAATTACATGAATGGTTTGATCTACGGAACATTATATGATATCTGATATTTTAATTTACTCATCTATTGATATTAATTAATTTTGTTATCTATAGATTTGAAACAAATATCGAATGTTATACTGTTGATGTTGGTGATGCTGTTGTGTTACATACTGATATTAGTGGATATCCTCAGCCACGTGTTGAATGGTACTTTGGTGAGCAGAAACTTGAACAATCAGAGTAAGTTAAAATCACTGCAAGTTTAGCTATGCAAAGTTTGATTTAATAGTGCTATTACATTTTTTTTTTGATTTAGGTCCTTCGTTTTTCAAGTATTTAACGTATAGATCTATCTATTTATGTGAATCCCAAATTTTACTCTAGCAAATGAACTCATTGTGATCAAAGAAGAATTCAACTTTGATTATTATAATTTGTAGAGACTTTCTTTTAGACAAATTGAAGTGAAGTATGTGAATCAACAAGCCATACTGACAATTAAGAAAGTGGAGAAGAAACATGAAGGAACTTATTATTGTCATGCTGAGAACGAGTATGGAAAAGCTGTGTTACCATGCAATTTATGTGTGACTGATACCGCCCTTGGTAAGTTTTTGCCATAGAAAAATGAAATTTTCGAAATTTCAAAATTAAATTTGAAATTCAAATAATTCTGACCTTATGAAAGATGAAATAGTGCAACAAAAAACAGTAGATGTTAGAAATGTCTAAAACAATGTGGGTATTCAATGAATCAAGTCAAATTTGCTAATAGCAATATAACACACAGAAATCTTATAACACTTCTATCATGAAAACAAAGATTTTTGCACTTGTAACTTGTAATAGATGAATTACAAGTGTAATTAGCACTTGTAATTCATTTCATTCTGATTGAAAACAATTTTTTTTTTTTACAGAATGGTCCAAATCTACGCATAAAATGACTCGACTTCCGTTGATTTACACTTTATCCGAAACTGAAGCAGAAGTGTCTTCAAATGTTCACGTTACTCACGCTGCAGAATCATACGATCATTATTTTTCCTCCATTCAACCAGAAACCTTTGCATTGGGTTATTCATGCCTTGCGTCAACCAGTAAAGTGTACGACGACTCCGTGATCATAACTCCTGAATCGATGCAAAAAATGATCGAAAAAGAACAAGAAGCAACGGAAGTCGTTTTAAATGTAAATGTAGAACGTACACCGTCAGTTTTCAAGCACGATGCACGTATTTTACAGTCGATAGATGAGAGATACATCACTGTATCTCGACGTGAACCACAATATGCAAAGACAGAAGAAGTAATGCAAACTAATAACATACTGCTGATTGGTGATCAACGCGTTCTACAGCAACATCAATCTGTGGTTAATGCTGTAAAAATGGTTGTATTCGAAAAGCCTCCACAACGAGCTTTGCATGAAGTCACTTGCTTATATGACGAAAAGGTTATCAACATCGAACTTTTTAAGATTATATTGATAATGGATGATTGAATTCAAATTAAAATTAATATTGAACTAGAAATTAAAGGACTTAAGATGGCGGAATTGATTTCGTTGAATGTTTTATAAAATAGATGCAATTTTGCACCGTATCCACAGTAAAAACACATTCATTTAGACAAAATAATCTTACACACGAATAAATTAGTTATTGATTATTTTGTCAAATTGTATGACCTGCTTACCACTTATAATCATAATCACAACAGAGATTATCGTTGACGACTGAGGTAGTGATATCGCACTATCTCAAAAAAATCTTAGGTAAATATATATGAGTATAATATCTAGCCTAATTCCTTTTTATGTTATAATTATTGTTATTGTTATTATTATTATAGGAGCGTATAAGCAAAGAAAAAATTCAGGCTGTCAGTACAGTTGATCTTAAAAGGATTGAAGTTGTCAATGAGCTTATTAGTACCATTATGGCTACAGAGGTTCCTAATTTCTATTCTTTCAAAAATGACTATCAAAATTATTTCAGTTTAATAATAATTTGGTGTACAAATAGCGTCACTGGAATTCTCAAGATTATTTAGTTCTTTTAAAAAAACTGTGATTTTTTCCCATTTAGTCTAAAATGATACTGTAACTGTAATAAATACAGGAAAAGTTCCGCGAAGCATATGCAGAAGCAAACGTTGATGTACGACGTCCGGATGCTCTATTTGATCACTTTATAACTGTTATTGAATCAGAACACAAATATCTCAAAATACATTTGGTAGCATCGGTAGTTGTGAAAAATCTTGCCACTTCCGATTTTTATTTGCAACAAAAACCGGAATCATTGCATGCAGAATCAGTGTTTACTGAATATCCCAGAAGGAGTGCAATTGCTGAACAACGAATCGTTATACTTCAAAGTTCATCCCAAAAATTCAGCGAAGCTATTACATGGAATTTGAAAAAGGTTTTGTATTATTCAATTCTATTTCATTCATAGAAATAGGTGAAAATTTAATTTTTCTTCAGTAATAAAACTAAGTAACAATTAAAGCTTTATTAGTACTACATTATCTATTATTTAACTTCACTGTAATTTGAGGAGAATATTTATAGGAAAATATCTATAGCTTTAATTTTCCCTTTAGAATTTCATTAATTGCAATTTAAGCTCAAAATCTTTTATCAGGTTACTAAAGAAGCAACCGAAAGTGGCATCACAGTAACGCATGCAAATATTAAAGTATGCAAACCGGAAGAAATCGGTGAACATGAAACAACAATTATTGATGCAAGAAAAATAGTTCCAGAATTACTTGCTATCGCTGCTGCAACTAGTAAACTTAAGGTATATCTCAGAAATCAATTTTTTGGGAATTTTAAAACTTTAATTCAGAATATGATTTTAATAAAATTAATAATGATTTTCTTTGCGTCAAAATTTTTGATTACTTTACTTACAGCTATTCCATTCACTTTCCCTTTTATGGAAACAATCTGATATTTTAGTGTTCATCAATATCAAATGTTTCCAGAAGATTTTCCTGGGGCAGAAATTGAAATAGATCTTTCAAATTGAACAGTTTTAGCTTATCAGCATTTTTGTGACATTCACTAAGAAGGGCGATGTTGCACATCAAGCGCTTGTCATCGAATATGAAAGTTTTGTGGAAGATGAAGCAACTTTAAATGTTGCTACGCTTATTGCTCCTGGATTTCATTCAAAACAGGTAAAATGCGTGAAATATCAGATCAAACAGTTCCACTCATTGATACAAATAACTTTTGTTAAATTTTAATAAAAACTGTTCATGTTCAAATTTATTTATTAAATTTTAAGGAAAGCATTTGGTCGTATGAAAGGAAGTATGAAAAGTCTGAAGAAACTGAGGCAAATGTTGTAGCCGTTTTTCTGGAAATTAATGCTACATGTCCAAGTCAGGTAAAAATTCCAAAAAATCACAGGAAAAATTTTAATCATAAAAGAAATTTTTTATTTATCTGACTGACTTATAACATTTCATTTTTCATTTTTTTAAAAATTTTATTTTTCTTAAACATCCAGTCTATCTTTCGTAACTACATTTGTTGCATTGCTGAATTATGTAAGCATAACCACCTTACGTTATTCTACATCTCAGAAATCTGCGGTAACAACCGAGTTTGCATTCTTATGATAATCAATCTTTGATAAAGTAGTAAAAAAAAATTTTCATCATAGAAAAAAAAGGAAGAAAATTCCTTATTTTTAGAAACTAATGTTTTTTTGATGTTATTTAGATGATTGAATTGATAGCATCAATTAATCTGCCACCATCTGCTCCTGGAATTATGGATGTAACGCAATGTTTACAATCACATTTCGAGCCATCACCTGTTTCTTGGTCCGAATCTTCATCCATAGGTTGATACAAAATATATTTTTTCCTTTTTTATTATCGCTATTTTTTTTTGTCTTAAATAATTTGAATATAACTTAAATAATTTGAAAATTTTTATCTTAAAAATAATTTGAATATGAATCGTGAAATTGAATATAGAATGACGGGAAGAATGCTAGATGTTTTTTAAAATTTCCCAAGTAATAGCAAATAATTATTGTAATAACACAATTATAAATACACTTAACAATTCTTTTAATAATTTTTCAAGGATTACCACAACTGCCAAAATTCATCAAAACATTGGAAAATATGACAGCAGTAGTTGGAGAATTCCATCAATTCAAGTGTATTGTTAGTGGTGCACCAGCACCAATGATACGATGGTATGTGGATGGCGATATCATTCATGATTCCGAGTAAGCACTACTTTTTTTTTTTTTTTAAATCAATGAAATTTGAACTTCAGTTGATTTCATGTACCGTTTTGCTACGAACGTGTATCGGTTAAACAAGCATCATGAAAAAAAAAAAATCATAGCCTAGCTATTATTAATTTCTTGTAAACTGGCTTTGACACAGCGGTTTATATCGCTTCGGTTTTATTGATTTGAAAGTGACAACATCCTTTTCATTTCTTTCAATCTCTAATATAAAATATCGCTAACTTTATCAGTGGTTGTAAAATTTTATATCATAAGTGAAGTAATTAAGTCAAAATTTTATTCATCATTTTCAAGTTTTTATATTATTCCCAAGGCATTTTTCACTAGAACAAACTTCATTATGCAACATATTTTAACAGTTTTATATCCTTATCTTCTTTAAGCGTCTATCAAACTATATATGAAGATGGTGTTTGCATTTTGAAAATTCGAGAACTTGCAATTGAAGATGAAGGCGAATATACTTGTGAAGCAACTAACGATGCTGGTCAAGCAATCACGAAATGCTTCTTGCAGACTATCAGTTAGTTTACTTTTTAGATTTCAGTGGAATAGTTCATCCTCATCTATTTCAGAAAATTTTTCTGAAAATTAAGAAAAATTCATGACTAGATTGAAAATATTCAAGTTAAGCAAGTTAACGTAATTACATATATTTTGAAGCAAATAACTGGAATAGTTGAAAATGAATTTCATATTTTTAATAACTTATTAAATGAATGATCGATAATTAGCAACAAATTGATCAGCAGATGTGCTGTTACAAAGTACAAGATTTAAACGTTATAAGTGATGGTATGAAGTGAAATGCACTATGAGTATTCCGATTTATCGTCCTATTAAATTTTTATGAATTTTTGCTGCAGGATACGGACATGCAAGCATTGATAATTGTATCGTATTCTATTCTCTAATCCATTTTATCATTCTCTTCTTAAAATTTTCCACGAATTCATTCTTCAAAACCATTTAATAAATCATCCTTAATATATTACTTTCTAGAATAGATGTCCTGGAATTTATGTCAATTTAAAAAAAAAATGAAAACTTGCACAACTTTTCTATTTTTCTTTCTTGCTTTCCTTGTTTTAGAGCAATTTTAATAATTAGTTGCCCCGTTTATCATAATATACTTTTTTGCTTTATTTCTTCATTTGTTACGTTTAAGTCTCGTGTCTTTCACGCGGCATTTCTGCTCACGTTTTCCTACCTTACCGATTGATAATAATTATTTAAAACCAACTAAACAAGCAGCAATAATACTTTTTCCAATGATAGTATTTCTAATTGTACAACACTTTATCAAACTAATGTTTAATTTTTTTTTAATATACAGCAAGAAAAAAAAAGAGAGTTAAAATGTTAAATGATATAAAAATTTCCGTTGTAATCATTCATTCAGTATTACTACTGCTTAAAAATGTTTTTTTTTTTGTTTAAACTCTAACCGAGCATGTTAATAAATCTGTTTTTAGAAAAAGATTTTTAGTGCTTTCTAACGACATAAATTCCTTTTTTTTTTCTAAAAATAACCTTAATAGTACCATATTTTTTAGCCGAAGCTGATGCTTTGAAATACCAGCAACAAGCCATGCTTGAAAATATACTGTACAGCAACAATGGCAGCAATAACAACAACGCTAACGACAATTTGGAATCTCGGGATAATAATAGTTCATTTAGTAATAGTAATGGGAATCATACGGCTAGGTGTAATACTGTAATAGAGCGGGATGGTGATAATAATAGTAGTAATCAGTGGAAACAATTTCTTACGGTCAATTATGAGTTTGCTCGAACTGAACCAATGAATGCTGAGACAGCGATAATTGTAACACGTTACGTTACGCCATCGAAAGAATTTCGTAAAAATTTGACATTGGAGGAGCGAAGCTTTAATATTTCTGTTTTCCTACCAAATGCTGCAATAGAATGTGATTTTATTTGGGCACTTATTAATTGTGAAACTATTGCGCTCGACCTGATGTCATCATTCCAAACGGCAGATTTTATAATTCAAAAATTTCTGTCACAACAAATAGGGACAGCTCATTTGCTATTATCTGTGAAATTAGCATTTGAAAATGTTTCACTTGCTATTTGTCAACCGTGGGAAGAAATTTTATTGCTAAAAAAACCTGAAAGCGCATCTGTTTGGCATGATAAATTTCGTCAAATTCAAAAAGCACGACTGCAATTCTTCACTAAAAGTTCTAACGTGAACGACTCTAGCAAAAATAAACTTATGGAAGATATCGTACTGGGAACGGTAGCTGATGCTATTAAAGGAGATGATGCAATAAAAGTAAATCCGACGATTCAAAATAATTTGGAAAAAGCAACAAGTGAGCAAAATGAAAAGATGATTGGCTATAAAGATGAGAAAGAAGACAAATCACGAATTCCGATTATTCCACAAGAAATGATTTACAAAGAGAAAGAACTTGATGCTAATATTCTGATCAAAAATGACGAAAATTTGTTCAAGTGGCAAACATCTGAAGAATATCCAGGAATCAGTGACAGCACTTTAGCTGCAGTTCGACGATACATAGATGAGCTACTTGATTTTACTCCTAATATACGAATAGCCATTGCAAACAGTAACAAACAAAACAACGTCAATAACCTGAATATGACAAGCAATCAGATGGAGAATGATTTCTTGAAGGATTTTGTTAATGAAGAATATCTAAATTGCTCATTTTGTCGCAAATCGGAAAATGCTGAGACAATTCAAGATTTGCCGGTACATGAATTAATTTCAATTAAGAATCATGTGATAGGAAGCTTTTCATCGTCTGGGATTTCATATTTAAATTCAAATTCAAATTCCAAAAATATGGTGTCTAACAGAAAAAGCGTTGGAACTACAGCAGCAATTAAATCATTATCATGTGAAGTTGACTATGACTTAGATGAAGATTCGAAACAAAATCTTGATAATCTTGATAGTACTTGCAATAGCATTAGCACATTGGATATGCAATCATCTTATCTTATTACAGAAACCTATCCGTTACACTTTACAAGTTCAATAGAAAGTACAGATGCCACCACTGTAACTTTTGATGCCAGCGAAGAATTTGAAGTTTTCAGTATTTCAGCAAATTTCAGTGCACATGATGAAAGTTCCTCAACATCAGCATTTGTAAATGAATGTAATTTTCTTGTTTTGGAAGCTGATCATTCCAGTTCTTATTCTGTTAACCCTGAAATTATTGACACTTCAAATATCAGCATTTTCACTAAAGAATCGCTCTCAGCTCGTGAGATTGCTGCCGATAAGTTATTATTAAAGACCAGAGCAATCGATGAAGTCTGTAGAGAAGCTGAAAGTGAAATTAAGATGAAATCAGAAGATAATGAAGAAGCACTTCAAATTGAACGTGCAATATACGATATATCCGAACGGATAGAACATCAGCAATCTCTAACAGAAGCACAAGCGGAAGCAAGTGAAGAACTTTTAAAAACTATACTTGAAAATATTATCAAGAATACAGGGCAAAGTAGTGTTATAGAAACAATGGCCGCTTATAAAAAACCGATTGTATTATTACGGGAAAAGTTGACAGATCTGGAAGAAACACTGAAGAGAGAAGATTTAGAACTCCGAAAGTCATCGATGAAATCAATTCCGGAAACACAGTCCGTGTTCTCAAAATCATTTAGTGCAGATGGTGAATATGCAAAATCTATCAGAGAAAGTTCGATTGAGAGGGAAATTTGTGGAATTTCACTGTATGATTTGCAACAAATTGGAAATATCAATAAGCAAGAGATTAAACGAATGACACCCCTAACATCGAACATTAAGGAACAGCTTCAAAGTTTGGAATATATGCTTGAGGAAGTTGGAAAAGAAGGAGAAGATGACACGAAAGAATTAGCTGCGGAAACTGCTGAGATTATCTTCCCAGCATATTCTGATGCTAAACAGCATGAGGTGCATAATATTTTGATGCAAATTAACAATGAAATAAGCATTATAAAACGATGCTGTCAGAGAAATATTTCAAAGGCGAGCGTCGACGCGGCAATCCGTTTGTTGCATAAAGTTCGCGACAATGTTTCTTCAGTGATTGATGTAATATCATTGTACAGAAAAAGATTGAGAAAAAAATCTCCTGCTGAAAAAACATTGAATTTTAATAGAGAACGAATGAAATCATTAAAACGATCTCATCCTTTATCGCCTTGCTCCAAGACTGGATTCTTTTTCAAAACAGACGCTTCAGTGAATTTATACTTTGTAAAACGTGAGGAATCAGAAATTATAAATGCTATTGTTAACTTATTTAGCTCATCCAACAAATATGGAAATAAAGCGTCGAAAAGTGAGAATTCTGAAATTTCGACATACGATGATGCGATTTTTGATAATGAAAACATAAAAGCCGTACAAGAAACAGAAATTGATCCATCGTGGTCATTTGTCTCTGAGTTAGAAAAGGATGACAAATCTGTCTTATCAAATTTTGTTCATCCAGAAAACAGTACACTTCCATCATATTCCGTTCAAGATTCTCAACCAACTCCAGTGCCTCCGCCACGAAAACGCAGCCAGCAGAGAGCTGATTCTCCACCTCCAATTCCACCACTTTGTTTGAAGCGTCGTTCAAAATCATGTGATGATTGTAAAAATCTTACTGTTCAATCTTACTCTTCTGATACATCGAATTTTTCATTCTCTTTGCTACAAAATATAACAACTCAATCAGATGCTCTAGTTTGTACGGATGATCAGTTAGATTCACTGAATAGTATCAGTTTATTGGATGTGGAAGCATCAAGCTTATTGATGCCTGAACAAAAATCTAAAAATCTTAGTGAAAAGAACGTCAATTACGAAAGAATTATCAGCAAAATGGGAAGCTTTTGCAGTTGTTCATATGTTTGGCCATCTATGGAAGAGTATCGTATTTCATTGGAAATGTTTGATGAATCTGGTTCTATACAACTTATATGTGAAGATTCTGACTATGCACCAGAATCAGCTATGCGCTCACTATTATTATTTGAGCCAACGAATAAGACTGAAAAAAAAATCGAAGGAACACATTTACAAAGGCTTGCATTTTTGTCGGATTTGAAGACAATTAAAACCGAAGCTATTACTGAAAATGCCAAAAAATTGGAGGAAAATTTTGGTAGACTTAAAAATAAAATAAAAGAGAAGTCTACAACTCCTGAATTAGATGCAAGTTACAATGAAAATAATTCAGAATACCTAGTCGATAGAAGCCAGAAAATGAATGAAAATTCGAGATTGATCGAATATCCGAGAAGCAGTACATCCGAAAATGCAAAATTCGAAACTCTTCAAAAGTCAACGCAACATTTTCACGTTTCCTCGAGTGCAAAATCACAAGAACTATCCACAACAAGTCTAATAGAGGATGAAACGAATTCTTTGCATGAAATTGAATCAATTGATGATAAAGATGAAATTTTGGATGAATTAGATGATCTCATGGTGATATGCAATCCACATGCAAGTGTTATTGATGACATCGATTTATTACCGACAATAATGGAAGATAGTGAAAGTTCTAAAATTGTAAATTCATTTATGTCTGCCAGCACAAATACTGTTATTGCTCTTAGCATGTCAAATACTGATCAAGAAGAAAGTGATATTACAGTATCGTCAACATTAGAATCAAAATCAGCATTGATTGGAAAAACCGTCATAGTGCCTTTGAATCCCTTGGATAGAAGTGATGCGGATGATATCAACTATCTAGAGAATTACAAGAAAAGAATAATTCTGATATGTGAAAGTGATGCTGAACAAGTATCAGAGGAAACTACAATCAACATAAGCTATAAGAGACCATCGAACAAGCTCAAAGTGCTAGCAGTCTTGTCACCTGAGATACAAGCTGAAACTGAAGCATGTATAGCTATTGAAGAAGGTTTTGATGTTCTAGTTGAACAACCAGACGAAGCTCAAGATTTTGTCGTACAAATTTTAGACCATGTAAACGATTCGATTAGTCTTGATTTGACTCTTTCAAGCACAATTGAGATGGATTTATCACTAAAACGTAGTGAACAGTGCGAAAGTATTCTATCTTATCAAGTTAAAAATTTATTTAATGGTGGTGGTGAAATTGACCAAGAGCGAGTAAGCGTAAAGAGTGATCATGATTATCATTATCATCATTCATGCAATAGTAAGGAACAACGTACCGGTATTTCTGTAAACATTATTGCGCGAAGTATGCATGATGTTGTGCATGCCTCACTGGAAGAAATTCCTTGGGGTGAAGTATCCATGTATATTCTAATGCAACCCATTATGACTCGTTCGATAACCGATTCGGAAACTAGAAATTCACTGATCCAAAATGTGACTGTATCGGAATCGAATGAAACTGAAAAACGTTCGCTACGTTCTCACGAATCATTTCGCTCCTCATCACAGTTATCCTTTAATTGGAACGAATTTAGTGATCGAAATGGCAGTGGACACAATCTCAACATACCAAGCTATGTGATTAGGGAAGGATCAACTGCTACAATCACATGTGAATTCAACAATTTTTTAGCTCCTGGAAGTTTCATTGATTGGTTCAAGGGTAATGCTCTAATGGAAATTGTACCTGGAAAAACGGATCGTATAAGTCATGATCTGTTGGAAGTGCTGGTTATTTCACATGTTGATCTCTCGGACGGTGATGTTTACAGCATTAGGGTCAATGATGTCATTTATCCCGTTGCATTCCTCGTTGTAGACAATACCGATGCATCATCTGAAAAAATCAACAATGATGCACACTTCATAAGTCCACCGCAAACATTATTTGTAATGGTGGGACAACCATCAATTATTTCCTGTCAAGTAAGCAGCGCTAATCAGAAAATTGAGTGGTGTAAAGATAATAAAAAGTGGGTGACTGAAAATGAACGAATACGATTAGAAGCAGATCAATTAGGTTATCATCGAATGATTATTGATAAGTCCGAACTAGAAGATCAGGGGACTTATTATGCTTTTTTGGGTAATCATTTCACAACAATTACACTGGTTGTTGAAGGTAAGCATAGTTGAAATTTTTTTTTTTTTTTTGTAATACTAATAGCTATAATTGAACAACTACTTAATTTTATTTCTTAATGCTACATTCAAAATTCTTTTTTCAATTATTATTTAGTGAAGATTTTTTTTTTCTCTGATAGTACATCACATTATTTTGTAATATAATGATTGCTTTTTAAATATAATTTTTATTAACAAAATTTTTGTTATAATTCTAAAGATAACCAATCTTCAAAGCTGATATTTTTTCAAACCATTCTCTTCTCACTAACTCTTTTTTTTATTTAATTTCACTATCAAACACAGAACTCATTAACGAACGTGAAGTGACAATCAGTGCATTGGGAACAGACAGTGAAGATGATGATTATCGTGAGTATTTGGTATCACCGGGTAGTACAGCAACAATTGCTTGTGAGCTGGAAAATAGCGATGAGGTGCAAGAATTGGTATGGCGCAAAGATGGTAAACGAATTGAGTTTACGGATGATGCAAAAGTTGAACATGTAGTGAATGGTTTAAAACATTATCTAGTGATTCATGATACACAGCCTGATGATTCAGCATCCTATAGTATCTGTATCAATGATATCGAATTCAAGATTGCTCATTTAATAGTTAGCAATTATGTAGCAGCTATCGATAGCAAGCATACTAAGCGTATCTCCAGAAGCTCACTACATTAATTTCATTCTTTTTAATTCTATTCTATCATCTAGAACTACCTAATATGCAAATTCAAAAGTTAATCATACGCAAAACTGTAATTTCATTTCACGCATACTTGAAATGAATTTGAGTTGACAATAGAGAGCAATAATTTATTTTACACAAAACTATGAACTTATTTTAGAAAAATATCGATACTTTTTGATTAGACTTTTTGATTGGAAAAGAAAAAATTTTTCCCATTTTTTCCAAAAATTTTTGCCAAAATGAAATAGAATTATTTTTAAAACAAATGAATGATATGAACGATTAGGCATTTGATTATTGCCAACATCAATGGACCATTAAAATATCACCGATTTTTTGGTGCAGAATATTTAAATTACCTCAGAGATAGGATAATTCCACATAGTGAAGCACTACTCTTGATATTTTTGCTGAATGATTGTTTTTGCAAGAAGCATAGAATTTTGATTTAAAAAATTAGAATTTTGATTTAAAAAATTTGATGATTAAAAACCTCTTTCAATAAGAAAATTTCACCGACGCTTTTTTATTTCTCATTTTTTGCGTACTTTTCACTTTTTTCGAATGTTACTTTTTTTTTTGCAAATTGATAGTTTTATTTATAGCATAGATAGTTCAGAAAAAAATTTGAAATGCAATTAGCTATTTATATGGCTAATAACTTCTACGTGACTAACCATTCTTGGGATTTTTACGTCACCCTTCCATTATGAAATTTTAATAGAATTTTTTCTGCATATTTTTATATTTTCGTCAAAAAATTAATTGAATCTGACCAATATTTTGTCATTTTTGAAATGTTTTGTTGTTTCATCATTTGTCTGATAATTTTATAATATTTGTTATTGACTTATATTTCGCTCATTCGTGCAACATTTTCGTTCGTTTCAAGTAAAACACTTATTATTGTACTTCTTATATCGCTACATCATTATCATCACCATCATCATTATTTATTTTTATCTTCAAATACCAACTGTTCTTGTTGAAAGAAATATGCAATTAACAATGCTTGTGCAGAAGTATTCTTCTCCCTTCCCCATCTGGTAATTGAATTTTCAATATAATTAATTAAATTCATGTGAGTGAAGCCTCCCTTTTGCAAAGTGTTTAATTAGCATTTTTACAATTTTAATGAGGTAAGAATAGGAATTAATTACTAAACTACAATCATTTCCATATTTTCGAAATTTTTAGTAGCCAAATAATCTGGAATAGAAAACAAAATTGGTGCATTTTGTATTAGATTTTAAAGAAATTGGTAAGTTTTTTCAGATCTGTTTCAATTTAAAAGTCGTGCTTTGCAATCGAAAATTTTTATAAAGTGCAGAGCCATCGACAAAAAAAAACTCTTCAAAGGCATGAAGGATAATTGAGAATAAAAAGAACATTATCGAAAAATTAAACGACCAACCTGAAAATTTCATGGAAATTGTTCACGCAAGAAACATGCAAAGGCTTAAAATACCACGTCATTAAATTTTTTCGCTTGGTTTACTCGTGCATAAGACTATCGATAGCTTTTAGACAAATTTAACAGTACTTGAAAGACATGGAAAATAATTCAAGAATAAACAGATGTAAAATCTTAATACAATTTTATCATGGTATCATGGACATATGATGCATGTTGATCAGTCAGATCATTTATAAAAAATATAAAAATCAGCTTATTTCCAAATCTTCACAATACTTGAAAATTGAGCATTCACAAATTTTTATATAAATAAATTTCAATGTTTAAAATAACCTGGTATTCAGTCAGTAGGATGCTGTAATTTTACGTCTATAAAGGTTGACGAGAAAAAGGTTAGCAAATTAGTAATGAAAACTGATGATGTAGTTGTTGGCACACAAATTGAAAGTTTTCAAAATTCCAATGTTGATAATCGTTTGTTGTCTTTGAAAGCTTATTTATTGAAGGTAATATAAATTTCTTTATGGAATTTCGCTTAAATTTTATAGTTTCTTCATTTTACACAAAAAGATGAAACAACGCTTTATTCAATTTTTTCTCACCGAAAAAATTTATATTAAAAAAAATTTTTATCTATTAATTTTTTATATCATTTTGCAAAAACGAAATTCTAGCACGATTTTTCTAATTGTAAAATAAAGGCTAGAAATGTATTCCAGGACACATTAATCGAACAGTTTAATATGTACATTTTAAACGATTACTTTCTAAATTATTTTAATTTCTGTTATTGCATTATTAAATTTTGCTCCGCAATATTTTCAATTGATAATCTTCTATTGCAGGAGAGTATGCAGGTCAAATTACAGTGGAAGAATCACTGGTACCAGTCGGTTCAGCTGCAACAATTCACTGTGAAACCATCACGCAACAGTATTCATTGGATTGGCGTAAAAATTTGCAACCTATTGTGCAAGATGAACGAATCGAAAAGAAAGATGCAGCTGATGGCTTTGAGCATAGCCTTACAATTTACAGTGTACGAAAGAGTGATGAAGGCGAATATGGCGTTGTAATTAAAGATTCATATACTGCTGTCACTAAAATAACTGTAATTGGTGAGCATTTGCAAAATAGAATTATCACTTGCTTATAGTTTCAGTAATTTCTAATCTAGAAAAACATATCTAAGATTTTTCCCTTTAAAAATTTATTTTAGGAGATGAATTACAGAAAGATAGAAAAATTATGGTATAATTATGTGCCAAAAACATACCGTATAACTTCTTTTTTTTTTTACTGATAAAAGTTTTAATTTCATTAAGAAATTTCAGAAATTAAAGATTCTATTACAGATGATCAAATTAGTCTCCTGATTATTATCATCCATAAATTTTGATAGCAGTTAAAAACAAATCATTGAAAGTTACAATTATTTTTTTGTTAAAACTATGAAGTTTATTTTTGATTTACAGAATCACAGGAGCAAATAGCCACTGAGAATTTCAACATTTCATTGCATCCAACACAATCAATGATGAATGAAGTCTCTGCGCAATTACGTGATTGCGTTAATCTTCAGCAGACACAAAACTTTGAAGCGTATCAGTTATGCAACATGGAAGAATACTTTGATTTGCAATTTTCCATGCAATCGCTTGAAATTCCAGTAATTGTAGATGAAAAACGATCTGTATCGGTCAGCTATCTTTCACGAGCAGTATCCATGCAAGCATTGGATGAAGAGATTCACATACACCGTGAGCTTTCTTATGAAACTAGCGAGGATTTCATTTTTATGGAAGTAACCAATGTTGAGTGCAATTTTGTAACAACAGATGTTCGCTTTGAATTCACATCTTCTACCTCAATTGATCATGCTGTTGTTGAAGCTATAGTACTAACACTAATTGCACATCAATCTATCCAACTTCACCTTAGTTCACTGTACACTGAACTTAGAAGTAGTTTTATAAAACAGTCTGGTTTGCAACAATTAACCGGTGCTGCAAGTCTACCGCAAAAAATTGTGGAAAAATTAGGAATAAAATTAGGTGATCAATGGGTGAAATTAGATGTGTTATTGTTATCACCAATGCAAACTATAGCAGCAGATGTTACGAACAAAATTCCCAGAACAATAGCACTAGAAATGGACTTTCTTCCATTAATATTTGAAAAATACGACGGTGACATTATATTTGATAAAGCATCAGAACGAGAATACCTTGACGCAGTGTTACTAACAAAATCAACTACATATCCGGAAAAGATTACACGACAATTTACCATGAACGTTGTCTGGTTGGAATTTATAGCTGTTTATAAAGTACCGCAAAATTTTGATACTTCAATCAAAATTGATGTTGCTCGAAAGGAAGTATTCCATCTGCAATGCAAAGCTTCTAAAGCAAATACAATTGATGAAATTTTCACAATTCAAGGAGCCATTCAAGAACAAAGTGTTGCAGTAACATTTCCAGAAAGTTTGTTTGCAGCAATAAGTGAAAATTATAACGATTCAATTTTATCTTTGGAAATAATATTAAAGTCACACATTGAACAGAATTTGCATATAAGCAGGGAATTACCGCTGATTCGAATGGAAACGATCAATATGCAGCTCAAGGCTTCAATGCTTGAAGTAATTCCAGTAACCTACAGTTTTTCGAAGCCTACACAGAATGAAAGTTTGGAAATGAAAATATTCATGAAACATCTTAAGCATTATGAAACAAGTCAACGTAATTTCGCTGACAGGGTCGCAAAACTTGAACTAGAGCTTTGGTCGAGGGACGAGCCTAACTCTTCCATTACTGGTGATTTCCGAGCAGGGGAATTGAATCGAGTGAGTGCAAGATTTTTCGCTTCAATTGCAGAATATTTCGATGTATCGACAGCTTTCAATATTCAGCCAAAAATGAATGCAGTAATAGCTACGTTACCAATAAAAGCGCCAAAAATTATTTCAAAAATAAGTCGGCTGTTTTCAGATGCCGTTGTAAATGTGATTTTAGAATGTTGGTCACAGATGCCTCAGGAATTTTATGCAGATGCTATCGTTTTAACACCACGAATAGATACATGCATGGCAAATTTTAGAGCTTCATCTTTTGAAAATTTACACACTATCATGTCATTTGAGATTCAATCTCAGACAAACACTGCTACTGTAACATTATTGAAGCAAGCACCGACAATCATTGAAAGATCCAGCTTTATGCTTTCCGATGATTGGATTCAAGAGAAAGCAGAATTTCAATCGCGACTTCAGCGTAGTCTGGAAGTAGAGATGGAATTTTTCACTGCCCGGGAAGATTCTTTCATTAGGAACATTAAAAGTGCAGAATTTGATGAGAAAAATATTGTGGCTATTATTGAGATCCGACCGGAGAAGGAATGTGCAGAATTTACATTGCTAACACCACTTCCAGCATTAATTGATGAGATCAATCGGTCATTTTCAGATACTGTCGTAAATTTAATTACAGAGCTACACATGCAGAGCGATTTTCAAACAGATATTGATATTTTAATCGCTCGGACGTGCGCAATTCAAATGTATCTGAAAGCTTCAAAAGAAGCAAATATCACTGTAATAGCGAGATTTTGTGTCCAAGATGAAATCGAAAACATCATAGCTACTTTACTTACACGGGCACCTACAGTTATTGAAAAAAATGAACGGAAGTTTTCAGATAATTTTGTGGAGTTTGTAACCGAACTATGGTCGCAAATCTGTCGAGAAGCTTTCGCAGATGCTAATATTTATGTTGTTAGAAATGATGAGATACAGAAGGAGCTGAAGGCTTCAATTGCAGAAGATACGTATACTTCGATATCATTGGAAGGATACTCTGAAGCTGAAGGACTTGAAGTGACTTTATCAGAGTCAGTTTGGGCTGACACTTGCAAATTAAATTGTTTCTTTATATATGAAACCGTTGATTTGATAGCTACATTGTGGTTTCAAACCCAAAACAATTTCTACGCTGATGTAAATATACCGATTAAACCAAAGAATAGTAATCAGCTACATTTGAAAGCTTCCGGCGAAGAACATACAAATTTGTTAATGAGTTTTGCAGTGCAGTCGCAAATAAAAAATGCTGAAGTGGTACTGCTTACTCAAGTACCGACCATTGTAGAAGAAACAGATAGAGCCTTCTCATCAAATTTCACAAAAATAATTTCTGAAATGTTTTCAACAGTAAATAGAGATCTATACACGTGCTTTGAAGTAATGATTTTAATACATGAAACTGCAGAAATATGGATAGAAGCAGCAAAGGAAGAGAATTTACATGTTGAAATATGTTTCAAAAATGAATTGAAAACTTATTATGCAGATGCTATTATATCAATTGTTCAAAATGAAAGACAGCTTACAAATATAAGAGTTCCATCTCTTGAGAACATCGAAATTTATAATTTCTTTGAGTTTTATCCGAAAGAGGAGCTATCATCGATTACTATTATATCTGAACAAATTACTGAAGTCACTGAAAAGAGATGTAGCAGTGATGTGGTAAAACTTGATATTGATATCTACCGCCCTGTTTTAAATGAAATTGTGGAAGCCGATCTTATGGAATCTAAGCCACCTCTATGGATGTCTTGTAGTTATGAAACATACGATGATCGATCGTTACGTTTGTTTCCACAGGGACTTATTGAAGATATCAATAAAACATATGAACATTTCATGCAGAAATCCGAAGAAAATATTAGTATAATGATTGAATTCTATCACAACCCAACGATAGAATCTTCTCAAATTGATTTACGAAATATATATCAACAGAGCCGAACAATCGAGGAGAATAAGGTAATCTTCAGATCTGAAAAAAACATCTCAGTATTTAAATGTCGTAATGCACACATTTCAAGTATATGTAAGTTACACTTAATAAGATTTTTTGAGATGGAAACATTATGGAGTCGCGTACAACTAAATGTAGGATTGTATGAGCACTTAGATCTAGTACGGTCCACACAAACCAGTGAATCTACTTTTATCTTACATGGAAATATCTGCGAAAAAGGTTTGTTATTTACACTTATCACACGCTAATTTCCGATTCCACTTTGTTTGCATCATCTTGCATAAAATTAGCGAGGTAGATTTATTATTGGTTTCAACCTCCAATGACAGATTCTTCCCATTCTCTTTTTTTTTATTTCAAATATATCAAAGGGAGATGGAACAAAGGATCATTAAAAATCTTTCTGAAAAATTTTCTTTGAATCTTCAATTAAAAGAAAAATTTTTTAAGAACCATAAATAAAAGAGTGAGATTTTCTAGATAAAACCATCGACAGATCTACATTCTTCAAATTTCAGAATTTCATTTCCTATAATTTCTTGAATTTTATCAAATTGTTATTTTTTATTATTATTAACTGAAAATTATTTTTGTGAACAGGTTCTTGGCTGCACTTTCCTTTGCTTAATATTTTTGGTTTAATAGTTAAATCCTTAATTTAGACTATAACTTTCTTAGCACTATTTGTGATTATAATTCAATTCATTTCCAGCATAACTATTTTTAAAGACTAAAATTAAAGTTAGAGCATGTGAAATTACAAAACCTGTAGTTTTGTAAATTCAGTTGCATATTTTCTTTCGTGCAGTGTACATCATTTTCTTCTTTACTCTGACTTATTTGCACAGGAAAAATTATTGAACCTGAATATAACAGAGGTAACTTAAATACCTAAAAAGATTTATATCACTGCTGAAATGAATGAACTCATGAAATGTTTTCTTAGACGAATCCACTGATGAAATTAGCACGTCTTCCACTTATGCAGCTCCACAATTTGTTGAAAATTTAAATGAAAATTATGAGATCGAGGAATTTGCAACTCATTTGTTCAAATGCATCATCTATGGGACACCTACGCCATATATCCGATGGTACCGTAATGAGCAAATTGTCATCCCCAACGAGTAAGTCTATTTTAGATTTTTCTAGATCATTTCGAAATCAAAAAAAAAAATTATTAAAAAATATTAAATGTCGAATAGTACAGGTCTTTTATTTGGAATTTCACTACTAAAAATGCTTTTTCTTTTACTTTAGGAAAAAGAATCCAATAGTTCTTTTCAAGGAAACTAAGAAAGTTACATTTAAGATTATATAGTCAAAAGCCTCAAAACTACAGTAATTATTTGCTAATATAAATTTACTACAATAGATCAAATTTTTTAAAGGACTTCAAAATTATTAATTACAATTGTTGCAGTAATATAACAGAGATTGCTGAAGATGGTGTCTACATATTGAAAATAAAGAGCGTAGATAGAAGTTGGGACGGAAGTCTGATTTGTGAAGCAACAAATGCAGCCGGAACAGCTCGTACACATTCCACTGTTCATGTTCAAGGTATTGGCTTATTTGAATAAAGTATAATTACCATCGTTTTGAAGTTATAAATGCAAAACATTCAGAAAATCTTTTGAAAAATTAAGGAATAAAAATGAGAATATTTTACTTAGTAGGTGAATCATCGTACTACAGGTAAATTATTATTCGTTGAAATTGAATAAAGGATAAGACTGGAACAGAAATCAGAAACAGAGGAAATTGCAAACAATAGTTGATTGAGTTTATAGTACACAACCTTTCAGAGAATTCACATTACAGGATTAGAGGAAAGTTCCATGAGTAGCACTTCGACTGGAGGACCTGTAATCCAACTGCCGGTTAGTAACGAAATGCATGTTAAAGTAAGTTTACTTTTGAAAAAATACATTCATAAAATTAGATGACTAATAAATAGATGTACTTTAAGTTAAAGTATTTGGAATTTGGAAAAGTATAAGTTAGGTGGTGAATAAATAAATTTATCATAAGTTAGGTAGTGAATAAATAAATTTATTGTACTTAAAATTTGCCGTCACTTTTATATGATATTTTCTTCTCTGCAAAGCATTGAAATCCTAATTTTTTAATTTTTAAAATCACAAACATATGTTTTAGAAAGGAGAAAATGTCCAACTTAAATGTGTTATATCTGGAAGTCCGTTGCCTTCAGTGCAGTGGAAGCGCAACGATGTTATTATCGAAAATAACGAGTATGTTAAAATTTGAATAAAAAACTAAAAAGAACACAGTCTCGATGTAATTCATGTTTTAAGTTTTATAGATAGTTTTCCAAGCAAGAGCATAAATGCTGTGTTGTATCAGTCATTTTGTGAGAATCTATTATTTATCATTTTTCAGGCATTACTCGATTATATATGATGATGGGATCTGCATTTTGCGTATTTTAAATGTCGGGGAAGAGGATAACGCAATTTTCAGTTGCACAGCGATGAATTTGTCCGGTTCCGCAAAAACCGAAAGTAAAATAATTGTTGAAGGTGATTGAGAATTTCATCTGACACTAAATTTTTAGAATAATTTTGAAAAATTCTTTTTCTTCAATAAATAACGTAAGTATTATTGAACGGAATGCATGACATTAGTAAAATTAAATGATCAAATATTGCTTTCGTGTAGATTATCTACACTCTTAAGATAAAATGGTAAATAATACAAATTTTAGTAATTGAATCGAAATTAAACGAAGAACAATCATAAAAATTGATGAAGTGAAACTGAGCGTTAGGTGTATTTTGGAAAATATTTTATACTTTATTTTTTAGAAGTACATTTAGTAGATGCAACCTAAAAGAGGAGAAAAGTTCGATTGCAGGGAATATTATAGATGATTATACTACAGGTGAAATATCGATAGGTTCGATGTCATCGCAAGATTCGACCATCACTCAATTCCAAGCACCACAATTTACATTACCACTGAACGAAATAACCATACAGGAAACGGAAGAACTACAACTTAAATGTATTGTTACGGGTGAACCAATGCCTACAATTCGTTGGACATGTAATGGCAAAGAAATTCAGGCAGACAATAGGTGGAAAGTTTTAATTTCATTTATATAACAAATTATCAGCCATTTTCGAGTGATCTATTATTCCAACTCATTTTCATAATTCCGGATTTCTTTCTTTTAGTGAAAATTTTTCCTGATGGGAGGATACTAAAATTTTGTTCTATCAAATTGATAATGAAATTAAACACAAGTTTTTGATGACCCAACTTTTGAATAAAATCTATTAAATCAAAATCATTTTATCATCCCAACTTTTCTCCAAAAACTCTGGAATCGTTTTATCTTGTTCTTCATAAACATATTTACTGCAAGGTTTGGATGTTTATTTAACTATTAAAATCAAATAAATAAGTCGCCTCTTCTCTTTATTTCGAAGCAATTTTTTCCTCTATTCATTCGCGCATCACTTTCACAAAAAATGCAATCGTTGATAGTATTTTTCAGGAATATATTCACTGTTTATGAAGATGGCATTGTTATACTGAAAATCATGAAAAGTGATAAAGAAGGGTTATACATATGTGAAGCAACAAATGGTACTGGAAGTGCGCAAACTCAAACTTTTGTTCGTATATATGGCACTGAAGTCTTATTAACAACAGCAATGGAACGAGAAAATCCGATAGAGTCAGCTGAGGCTATAGTTATCTCAATCTCGACATCAAAATTCTGCTCAGCTGCTGATGTAACTGAAAAGAGAAATGAAATGATTGAGGAAGATCTGGAAGGAGGAAAACCGAGGGAAACATTCGATGAAGAAATTACTATCGATCAATATATACCAACAGGCACACTGAATTATTTAATTGAGGCAGAAGCGCTAACAATAAAAGTTATGAATTGCAAACTTTTTGCTCATGCAAAAGTGAAAGAAAAATCGAAAAAATTAAAGGAGGAGAAGTTACTTAAAATAATCATCGAAGAGGAGGTTATTACCACGCGAACTTATTTAAGAGTGATCGAACGCAGTGCAAGACATTTCTGGACACTTCGAGGTCATACTACTGAAAGACCTCCATACTGGAGCCGAGAGGTTACCAATGAAAGAGTAGAATTTGAGAAAATATTCCAAAGTGATGAAATACATGAATTTTTAGAAGATAAAGACATTATTGAACGTTATGTTCAGCTTCTAAAGGCGAAAGAAAGGTTGGAAAGCAGTGAAGAATGTGAAACTCGATTTAAGCTACGTCAAACTGAAGGTCCACCAGAAACTTTAGAAAAGCGACAATTGGAAATACTCGAAGAACAAACTGGAAGTCTTGATGAGGATATCGGTATCTTCACAGTTGTTCACTGCGTAGCAAATGAAATGCATCATATTGCAGAAGCATATGTAATTCTCATTACGCGTTACCGATACAAGGCAACATTTGATATTCGATCTCCTCAATATCAGATGATTACTAGAGGTAACGAATTTGAAGCTTCTATTGAAGAATCAGTCAAAAGGCAAAAATATTTCTCCCATTCAATTTTGAAGCCACCGCATTTCATTCAATCATTTGCTATCTTTGAAGAAGGTTTCAACACAGGATTACGTTGTTCTGTATACGGTCTACCAGCACCACATATTCGAATTTCGCATAATGGATGCCCGATTTTGAGAAATAATAGGTCAGTTCAGAACAGCAATAATGAAGTTTTGCTAAGCGCTTTACATAAAAGGTCAGTTCTTGCGCGCTTTATTACTAATCATCAATTGCAGAGATCGTTTTTTAATTTTTAAATATCTAATATATACTAACCTTAAAATATAGTCATTCACAGTGGAATAGTGAAACGCTTCATTCTTTGCTTATATACCAACTAAGGCTAGCAATTAGTCCGGTCTTTTGATTACATAAGGTGTGAACTACAGAAAGCTAGTGACAGATCCAGAAAATAAAAGTTACATTTTGTTCACAGTATCTCAAGACAAATTAACAGCACTAATAAAAGATGTTTATTACGAGCCAAAAATTTTAACATATTTTGCCTAATACTTATTGGGTGATCAATGAATATTTTGAATCAACTAACTTGCTTAAAACTAAGATGAATGTAAACTTTAGGCTTCTTTAACAACTAGAGATAACATGTTAACTAATTCAATATAGTTTAAGAAATAAATTGCTTTCAGATTCTTTCATGTAGTATACAAGAGTGGTGTCATAACACTCTACATGCCGCACATTCTGGAAGGACATTATGTGTGCGAAGCCATCAACGCAGCTGGACGAGCTATTACAGAATGTTACATTCGAGTGGATGAAGCATGGAATGAAAAACAACACAGAAAAATCGAAAGAATACGAATTGAAAACGCATCCAAAACAACGAAATGCGCAGAGAGGAATTCTCAAAATCATGAAATCATGCCAATCACTTCACAGGCATTAATTCCTCAATTCGAATATGAATACAGTAAACAAATCAACGAAACTGTAGAGTTAATGGAAAACATTGAAGATACTTTGACTGAACACCATACCAAACGTCAAGAAGCACTAGAAAAAGACACGGAAAAGACAAAGGAGACCAAAAATGACAACAAAACTGAAACATATGAAGAAATCAGCAAAAATATCTTCATTGAAAGAAAACCCGCCACTTCATCAATGAAAATTTCAGTGATAGAAAACATTTCCGACACATCAAAACGAGAAATTTTTAAACTGTCACAGCAAGAAATTGATACGTTGGCCAATGTTACAAAGCCTACGTATATCGAGCACGCAGAGATTCTGTACGCAACTATATATCACGAGACAGCACATCATGAAATATCTGCATCACAAGACAGAAAAGAGGAGATACAAAATGAAGCAATGCTTGAAGTCATTTGCAACGAGCAAAAAGAAGAAATTCAAGCCAAGCAGGAAAAACCTAAAAAAAAAATCGGTGCAGAAGTGGTGCAACCAAAGGAAGAAACTGTCGAAGAAAAAGTTGCCGAGGAATTAGAGATAGCGTTAGAAATTAACAAAGACTTCGAACATGAAATTATCGACGTTTCAATTCTGAATGTGGTTTTAGAATCAACTCAAGCTTCAATTCGCTTTGCAAAAGAAGCCAAAGAGGAAAAATCTAAAGAAATCGTTGAAGTGGTGAAATCAAAGGAAGACACTGTCGAAGAGAAAATTGTCGAAGAACTGAATGAGGCAGAAATCATGCTAGAACTTAACAAAGACTTCGAACATGAAATTATCGACGTTTCAAT